CGATGTGCTTATCCGTTACTCTTCTGCTGCTTTTTCCGTGACACGTTGACTTGGCCTATTCTAGGAAACAGTTGTACTGTTCGAAGGCAGCACGGCCTCTGTGCACATCTGCCAAGACAGGATTGATGGTGTGTGAGAGAGATGAGAACTTTTGCTGTGTGTGGCCAGTTCCCATCTATGGTACAGGTTGAACCTGTCTAGTCTGGCTCTCTCTGATCCAGTAACATCTGTGGTTCGGCCTGATTTTAGTTAGCGGAATGTCCACTTACCATGAGTATGGCCAAGTTTCCCACATCCCAGAAAGTTTGTTTACAGTCACCAGTCCCGGCTATCTGTTCTGTGCTGTTTTTTAGCTCTTAATTTACACCTAAATGTCTTCTAGGAGTCCAGTACACAGTAGAAGTGTTGGTCATGCTGCTAGACAACACTGACCTTTCATGGTTTGGCAAATTCTCTGGTTTGCACCAGTCAGGTCCCAAGGGTGCCAGACTAGAGACATTCAACCGTAGTTGATGCTGCACGTAAGTCATGTTTTTTGGGATAGAAAATGAATGTTTTAGTAGCCTACAGAAGTTCCCTTCAGTTCTTTCCACATTGTGGTTGAACATTCTCAGAACCTTCCGGTGTTGCTGTTAGCTCAGCCAAAGAGGTTTCTGCTCCCTCTTTCTAGTTGCTAATTGTGTTTCTTTCCCACAGAGCAGGAGAGACTTACCATGTGGGAGTGAGCGTCACCAGGCTGGTTCATCAGGAGTGATTTAATCATGTGGATCTTAGTTGCAAGAAATGGTGCTTGGTGGAATCTCTTGGCGATTGGTCCAAATTGTTCTTTAGCAGCCGAGGAAGTTGAGAGTTTTTCACTTGAGGTGGGGCTGGCGAGGGGAGATCAACCAAGGGATTAGACTCATGGGTTAGAGACAGTGATATCTTGGACTAGAATATGCCTTTGTGCGTCTGTTTATACGCCTCTCCGGGATTCCATTTCTTGGAATCCGAAGATGATATCTCAGACGCAGTAAAACAGCTAAAGAACCCCAGAGCTAGGATTAGCTCAGGGGTTCTCAAACTTTGAGATACCGCGACCCCCTAAAATGCTAAATTAATTTGAGACACCCCCCTCACTGCTCCAAAAAAGGGAGGGAGCCAAAGTTGTTAGGCAAAACCCTCTGGGGGTTGCAACCCACAGTTTGAGAAACGCTGGATTAGCTTGTGAGCAATATCTATCTTCCTCTTGTTGCATTGTTATGTCCTGTGGTCCCTGCCTTCAAGCATCTTCTAGTCAAAATCAGAGGGCTCGACATGATGGACAAGGAACGTCTGGACTGGCGAAAGTTCCTCAGTGCTTTCTACCTTTCCTTGGCTCAGCAGCATGTGAGGACTGCCAGTGTCCCGCGCAGGGCCCTGTTGTAAAGGTGAGCCAACCAATCCCGCTCATTGGCTTTCTGTGCTGAATAAGCAGCCACACGCAGGTTACTTCTTGGCACCAAAGGGCCATCTTTGTTGAACTGTTCCTGTTTTCCAGCTGCTTTTGACTAGCCTGGTCCAGTTCATGTTGTGCTTCCGTGTTAAAGGGGAATTGCAAAGATTTGAAAAGGGCACCTCCTTAAGCTCTGTCTTGTGAGTAGAGCCAGGAATGAAGGGAACATTAAGCTTGAAGAAATTTCTTTAGAAGAACTTGCAGATTTTGTCCATTTTCCATTTAAAAAAAAAAAAAAAGGACTTTGAACATCTCCCCCCCCCCCCCCCCCCCCAAAGCTGATCATAATGATTTAATATGTTCTCTACCCCAGGTATGTCCTTTTCCTCTCTGTCATATAACTGTTCTCAGTGGCAGCTCCCAGGAGCAGGGTCGGGCAGTACCACCTGCCGGTCTAGCTTTTCCAGACTGAAGCTCTCCTAACGTTTGGAAAGGGCATACTCACTCTCTAATAAACAAAACACAAATAGAATTTGTTCAGAGGCTGGGACAGGAACTCAACTCTCAAACAGAAAATAATGGCCGGGGCTATGCATGTTGTGCTGCATTTCTAGTGTTTGGTTCTGTGACATCTGGGCAGATGAAGTGAGCTTTCAGGGACTCGCTGGCGCTCCTCTAGCATTT